CCACCACCCTATCTTCCAACAATTAGCCCCTTGTAGCTTCTTGTTCCTAGTAGTAAGTCCAGGAGCGCCTAGTAGCTTCTTGCTCCTCAAAAATGCCAGATGATGGATGAATCTCTTCACTCCCGGTCCGTGGCTTCCCGCGCAGTGGCATCGCTGGTGGGTGTGGCTGGGGTGGGGTATCCCCAACCTCGGTCAGTCCACGACGACTTGAGGAGAGGACGACGTTGTAAAAAAAAGAAAACATCGGTTTACAGGTCCATGAAAAACAACAGTTGTTCATCTATAGAAAGGTGGCCATGAACATGCAGACTGAAGTAGTCAAAGCATCTTTGTGTCAACTACGACTACAACTGGCTGCGTCTTCAGTTTAAATTGATGGATCCTCCAAAAAAGGAACTGCGAAGCAAAGCCCACTATATATTGCCAAATTCGCATCAACACACGTTTCAGTTGTCTTACAAGCGTCCTTTTGTCTGGTGTGTTACTCGGGCACTGTGTTTTCTGGGTAAATATATGCTGAATTGATTTGGTAAATGAGCCTGACTACTGGACCTTCTTTTACGAGGCGATGGCTGCAGTGTTTTGCACAACTTGTACCTCAGGTGTTTTCCGCTCGTTGGATGTGGATCAACAACCCCATACTGTACTTTCACACGCAAATGGCTTGTGACTGGAGGTTCATCCTGTAAGAAGCTTGGAAAAAGACAACACTTTTTGCATGAGCAGGCTCTCCAGGAAAAGCTTGCAGATGTTCTTTGGGCAGATGCTGACTGGACGCATGGCTTTTGTGGTTGAAAGTGGTTGATGGGCCATCTATATATATACAGATCTTTCCTATGTTTGCCCAACCAAGAAGTGTCTGTCGTGTCCGTCTGCCAACAATGGTGACCTGTGACCCTCCAGGCGCCATGTGGCTCATATGGTTTGAAACGAAGAGCTTTCTATGTCTTCCATCAGGGGTCTGGCCTGGCGCGGAGCCTCCTTTCACATGTGTTCAATTGGTGCTTGGGGCACTGCTGGTGGAGCCTGCTGACACCTTGTCGATAGAAACAGCCTGATGGAAGTGGAGGCATTGTCCCGAACCCTCACAGTTGAGTCCCGTCTCTATATAAAGAACATGAAACAACCTTAGTTCACCAAGAAATCAGTAGATAGACTCTGCTGCTTGCCCTATGGCTCCCTATGGCCTATCTGTTCAATCTCCTCCCAAGCGATCGCCTTGTTGGTTTCCCCCGTCTGGTTGCGTGGCTCTTTGGATTACCATTTCCTCTGCAAACATGACTTACAGTGACCATGATTGTTCCAGGGAGTGTCACCCTCTAAGCGCCAACCACATATCTTTGGAAAATCCGAGCCACAGCGCCGGCTGCGGTGGGGCTGTACCAGGTCGGCCTCCTTGTCTGATCTGCTGGTCTTTCAAAGGGATCCTTCTGGAGGAGGTGTTTCTTTTTTCCTGCCTGCTACCTATCCCAAGTCGAGTACTTGGTTTTTTGTATGACCAACTTCAGTAGAATGAGGTCTTTGACCTGTACCGTATCTTTGGAATGCTTAGAACCCTGCACTGCACGTGCCTGCTATGGGTGAGTAGAACGTAGTCTGCGCGAGACGCAGAAATGGTCGCTCACCCCGACCACTCAAGAAGGTCTCAGATCAACACCTGTCACAAGGAAGGATCCGGCGATTTCAGAAGGATCTTTCTACATCCTACCCATCCTCCAAAGAAGATCCAGCCTTCTAGGCACAGAAATTCCTCTTTTGGTCTCACACTTCATCTGACAGGAACCCGAAGGATCACTGACGGGCCGGTGATCCTTCCCTCCCGCTCTCCCCCATCCCCCGTTCGCACCCACTCCTCCACGGGCAAGCTGGGGTCGAAAAAAATCGCCTGGGCGAGGATCGAACGAGAAAGTGAAGTTCGGATGATGGATCATCAGAGTCAGGGGGTCAGGGCCAGTCTTAACCCCAGATTCTTGTTGATGGAATCCACAACCAAAGGCGCAAAGCTGTGTTACTTCTGGCACTCAAGCAAGGGCCGCAGAACAGTTCGTAGACTCCGCCAAAATCACTACCCCTCAAAACAGAATAACCCCCCCCCCTGACAGAAGGGAGCCATGGGTTTTGAGTATGGCATGACGGCCAAGAAAAAGCCTTCCGGCAGCTTTAGCCCTAGCTATGTTCGACTCAGGACTGGCAGAAGGGGAAAAAAGGCAGGGACGGCACCTCTAGAATCTCTAGAACCCATCACCATGGGCATTAAACTCCCAGGCACTGTTCAATGACGGCTTCAGGAAATCAAGTCTACCCAGCCAGGGGTCTCCATATTCAAAAATATAAATCCAAAATGAACCCTGAACCCATCAGGCTGTCTTCAACAGGCTGTCGGTCTGCACCGAGGCGTTTGCCCCCCCGCCCCGCCTCGAGTTCCGTCAGCTCCGTGGTGGCCGCGCGGCGCGACGCCGCACCGCGTCGTTCCACGCGTGGTTCCACGCCATGGCGCAGCGGGTCACTGTGCCGCACCGGTGGTTTGGGTCAGGCAAGGTGGGCGGCACCGGTCACTTGGAGGGTCTTCATGCACAGTATTGGCGGTTGAAAGATTCAGACGCCGGCTTGGAAGCTAGTTTGGCGCCAAGTAGTTCTGCAACAGTGTGGTTTTCCGGAAAAACAGTGTCCCAATTAGGCCAAGGTCGAAACAACACCGTCTTCAAACCATTTGCACCTCTTCGGCATTAAATTTTAACCCTATCCCAGAAGACCATGTGGACCAATCAGGACCATATGAAATGAGGATTGGGATGGTTTATCTCCAATTCCACCACTCCCATTGCTTCTGCTTCTCATGCCTTTCTTCCAAGTCAGCTTAAAGCTCAGGACCACCAGCAGCATGGCTCAGATCCATCCGCACGATGCCTTTGGTATCCCTAGAGGTCGAGGATCTCATTTTGGAGGTCATACAAAAACAATTGTCTTCGTACATGCTGCACTGAAGGACTCAAAGGACTCAGGACCAGGTCAGACTTGTGTCAGACTGGACTTGTAGGGTATGGTTTGGAAAGAAATTTGAACCACGTTGTTCATCCCTCTGCAATGGTCTCAAACTGTGTCTCAAGGAATTCCCAAATGTCTCATCCAAACCTGAGTCACCTCCATTTTGTCACCGAGCTTGAAGGGCTCCGAACTATCGGAAGGACCCTCGAAACTCGACGATCCTATCCGGTACCCTACTGAGTGAGTTGCGGGTCCTTTGTTTTACACCCCAAAAACCACCTCTCCGACGACGCACCGGGTTGCTCCTCCGGGTCGCTCCACCGGTCCACCGGTCGTCCGCCGACGCAGCGGCGGCGGCAGTCCGCGGAAGCGCGCCGCTCGCAGCTCGCCCCGGGTGATTTGGGGGCCAAACATGCCCAAGACCAAATAGTATGTATGAGTACAGCAAGTCTGCTACGGAAGAAGTACAAATGTACGTTGTGAAAAGCGAATTCAGTCCACAAGACACAAGTTCGTTGAGAAAACAGGTTCTCAAAGCCTCAGCCATGTTCAACAGAGACTGTCACACAGTCCGCGAAACAACTCCTTTCGGACAGTTGCAGAGAAATCCACACAGTCGCATCCCCATTCCATGGATTTCCATGGTCACAGTGCGGATAGAACCATAATAGTACGCCGTGCCGTAGTATTTTGGCTTTAAGAAGAGGAGGCCAAGCTCCCACCATTTAAGTCTGACCACCAATTTCGGGATCCGTCGCAGTTACTTTTTGCCTGCCTCCGTCGTGTACAGACGAGTTCTCGTCGCGAAACACCTGACGTCTGAACGGCAGAGAGTTGACAGCCACTAGCAGCCACCGCCATGAAACCGTGTGCAGCCAAAGGCAGTGAAGAGGTCGATTTGTCTGGTGTGGCGAAAATCGAGTGGACACTCCATGGCAACACCGGAGGTGTTTGGTCTTTTGCCTACCAGTGCCTACCAGGGTTCACAAAACGGTTGGTTTTTAGTCTCTGAGTGAGTGGATCATCGGTCTCCCCTATCCTCCAAAAAGCACCCCTTTGGAACTGCTGGCAATGTAACCGTTGCTATGCTTGCAGAGAGCAAAAGCACCACCCCTTGGTTTTGCGCCGCCGAAAATCTTGTCATTGGATCCCTGTTCTTCCACAGAACACCTTGAGGGCGGCTAAAAAATATCCGTTGTCACTGACCAAGTAGAGTAGAGTGGCATACAAAACAGTAAGGAACATAAGTTTGAACATCTGCTTACGGTTCATCCGAAACAAGATCTGCTATTGAAAGACATTGCCTTTCTTGGATCTTGCATGTTCACGCTCACATGCACTCTCCCAAAGTTTGTACATCTTTGTTAAGCAACTTGGGTTGACGACTGGCTCGGTGGCTGCGCATCCCCAGGCTTGTGGAACCGGTCTATGTACAAGAGGCGGTCCGATCGGCAGGCCGCACACACCGCCCCAACATGTCAGCGTGCGAGGAAGGAAAAGCAGATCAACTCTGAAACAACTTGGGATACTGAGCCCTCAGTGTTGTTTAAACTAGACCTGATAAAGGGTCACTATACCTACAAAAGTTGAAGGACCTCTATAGACTATCCCTTAAATACCCAATAAGGTTCTGTAAGGTAACTTGATTAATCTCTCTTGGTGTACAGTACTGGCATAGGATGGTGTTCTTTCTTCCATTCAAACCACGTTTTGGTGGGTAGAACTTGGTCAAGTAACCAAGCTGTTTCATGAGTGAAAAGCAATCCACATCTCTAGGAGATATCAAGATGATGCCAAGAATCTTGGTAATTATGGGCATGTGTTATAGAGAGAGAGAGAGAGAGATGTTACATCCTGTTTGCGTACAGCCTTGAACCTCAAGTGACTCAAGTTGTCTGTCTCAGTCGCACTCCATATGTTTTTGTCCATACACCCACTGAATCCCCCTATGTCTCACCGTCTGGCACATCACAGGGGGGGCGTTGCGCTCCGCATTCGACCGTGCATGGGGCCACTCAGGCGGTGCGCTGCAAGAGGTGTACTCCAATCTCGGTGCTCACCAAGTCATGAACCTCTGCAGCTTCAAAGCGAGATGACCGGCATCCCGGCTCAGCCTATCGTTCGGGCGAAGTGGCGCCATGACCGTGAGTCCATCCGTTCACCGGAAGAAACTCCTTCCAGAAGTGGAATTGAAGACCGAATTCACCCACAAGCGTACCACAAGTTTCAAAGGACAGCCCAGAGTGCTTTCATTGTCGAAAAGAGAAGGATCACCCCCTTCTCTTCCCCGTTCTCTTCCCCTGTCTCCCCTTCACTTTCACTCCTCACATCCTCACATCCCTCTCGCCTCACCAACCTGGAGTTCAAAGGCAGCCTTAAGGACTGCCGCAGGCACTTGCGGTCGCACGCCTGACTTGCCGCGCGGCGGGGTCCGTGCGGGCGAGGCGCGGAAAACAAAACGCCGCGACGGGGCGCCGTCGATCGAGTCGTGTTTGATCAGTCAAAGCTTCACAGCTCGCTCCTCACCCTCATCTCGCCGCCCTCCCGCGCCTTGTTTGGCCTTGTCCTGCTGAATGCCAACACCCTTCACGCGGTCCAACCAGCCCATGTCGCCCGCCAAGTCGCCACCCTTCAGCGCGGAGGGACATTGCGAGACCTCCCGGCAGACCTTCCTCAGCTCGAAGGGGTGGCCGGTAAACGGAAGGGGGCTCTAGCTTCAGTTGGTGACCCTTTTTCCAGGCCGGCTTGTAACATTGTTGCAACCCGGATAACCAGGATATCAAGGTTCTGTTCCGGACTGCTTCACACGCGAAAGCCGCGTGTTTCCCACTTCACAAGCTCATCTTCGCTCACGACCGTCACGGTTCAAACGGTCTGGCGTTTTTGGTTCTGGTCATGGAAGGTCAGTGTTTGCGATCGAGGACATGCATAGGAATAGAAGCGGAGCGTCCAAAAACGGCGTCCCCCCGAAACAATGGAACGAAGGAACCGAGATTGGCCCAGATTGTTGTTTTAAATGTTTTTGTCGGATCACGTGACTTCACAACTTCAAGTCTGCATACCTGGAAATGCAAGTCGGAGCAATGGCATGGTGCACATCTCTTTCTTTTTCACTGATGTCGTGATATGAATCACCGGCAAGCGACTTAAATAGCAGCTCACTGGCTGCATGTCTTCCATGCCTGTTGGCCAGGTCAGGTCTCCCAAACCAGAACTTGCTACCTGCTACCAGCTTTCCCAACACCCTTGACCAGTGGCCCAGACCAGAACTCTAGTCAGATCGTCTGGTATCGACCTCGGACAAATTCCTTTGGCGTGGCCATTCGAAGAGGATTCCAGATGCAGCACTAACGAGTGGATGAATTTTCCCTGGTTCTTTTTCTATACAAGCCTCAAGCTTCTTGTTGCTAGTATATAATGGTAATGGCCTTCAACCTAACAGCAATGACCTCCACCTAGTAGCTTCTTGCTCCTGCTATAGCGATGCATCAGCATCATCAGCACGTCCCCATTTTGGATGGCCTCTCGGGGGAAGCTGCGAAGCTGCGATTGACCAAAAACCTCCCACCTCACTGAGAGAGGCTCCACAGTGAACATCCCCCCCTCAGTCATTCAAGCCAAGGCTCTGGAAGCTTTTCATGCCATCAGCCTATCTTCGGCCGTCACTCAAATCGGTTTTCACGGCCGCTGCGGATGGAAAGTGGGTGAAGACAAGCTTCACTTCCACCATGTGACGTGTGTAGTGGCAGGAACCCCCAGTGGCCTGAAATGTGCTCAGTCTGCAAGCTGAAGCATCGGATTCCTCAATGACCTTCGGGATCTACTGCCCTCATTCCACTGAGAGATGCGACCAGCTGGCATGTAAACACGAACCTGAGTGACCTCTATTTTGGACCACCCACCACCCAATAATAGGGTCAAACTTCCTCACTAAACCAATTCACAATTTTGAGGTCTTTTCCTGGACTTTTCCTGGGTTCTAGGTCAAAAAGGGACCGCCTGAAGCCTGTGACTAAGGTGGAAGGTGGTAGGAAGTTCCATCACGGCTTTCACAGAACCTGAGGCCCTCCCGAGGCGTCCAACCACGGCGTCTTTCCGTTCTCCATTTGTTCTGACCGCCATGAAGTCCAACCATCACCCCGACAACCCCCCCAAAAAAGGTTTCGGCCCGCGACCAGCAAGACAACACAAGTCACCTCTTCAAACAAACAAATGTGCCTATTTTTCGCCCCTACGAAAAACCCTACCTTTGACTCTTACCTTCATCCGTCCTCTTCACCCTCCAAGAGCTCTCACCTCCAGTTTCAGCAAGATCTCCAACATCTCAGCCTCCGCCTCTTCTTGCGTGCGCTTCACCTGCCCCACCAAATTTCTCCAATCACGAATCGGTTCGCTTCAGTCGTCGTCAGATTTCACCGAAAAATGAGCTGGTAAGAAGATGGGCAACCGCACCCACATCATCTCCACCACCCCCCATCATACGCCGTTTCACCACCGCGCAGGGGTTCCGCGTTCCGGTGACCGCGGTGCCTGGCTCCGTCGGATGGGGTCCATCACTGGAGGCCCGGCCCCGGGCTTCACGCGTAGCAAGATCTGCCGTAGCCGCACCTGCACCCCGTGCAGCGGGACGAGCCCGAAGCCGCGAGGAGCGAGCAAATGGAATTGGGTGGTGAGGACCGCGGCCGAGGCCGGCTGCCAGTGTTCTGTTTGGAGAAGAGTACGATGTACACCGTGGGTCGTGAAAACATCGGGTGAAAACCATCCAAAGATGTTTGTGTCTAATAGGCGGGTTGAGCTGAGCTGAAGAGGCCATCCTCTTTGTCCAAAGCTGGATCTCAAATGTTGGACCATGAATTCATACCCTGGCATGTTCTGTTTCAGGGTGTTTTTCGACCCACATCATCGAGGCCTTCGCCGCCTTAGCCTTAGCCACCGTGTTCCGCGAAGTTTCGAGAGACTTCTCAGGTCGTTTGCAGGATGGGGTTTGGCAAAGGAAGGAACCACGGTTTGGATCCATGAGGTCTTTTGGGGGAACATAGAGGGGGTTGTTCAACATCCATGGTTTGATGAAGAAATCCTGACATGGTTCCATGCACATCGACGATCTTGGACCGGGTCAAAGCCCGGTCCAAGGTGAGACACATTGACTTCCGCCTCTTTTCATGTTCGTTCGATCGCCGTAAATCGTTATGTCCACACATTGGCAAATATGCATCCCCTGCCAATGGTGAACAAATGGTCCAGATCGGTCTCCCAATTTCTTCATCCACATAATGAAACCGCTAATGCCTTTTGATGCCTCTACATCTCTCAGGGCCATCTGGGATGACTCAACCCAACTGATCCTTTCACCCCCACCCCTCCGGTGCCTGGTCTGCCTTCCCGGACCCGGTGCCACCGGTGCCCGCGGTGAAGATGGGGCTCGTGGAGCCCGTCTGAGTGAGGACGACCGAGCGAAGTGGCTGTGGCCAGCGACTCGCTCGCTTCATGGGATGGAAAAGACCGGAGTCGTTCGAAATGTTTTGATGTTCGGAGTCTTTCTGAGACGTTCGGAGTCTTTAACCACCAGTTTGGGGACATGCGGGGACGTCAAAAAGGATCCAAGTTCCAACCTTTTGTCCAGCCGGAGAGGCAGATCCACCCCTCACCCACTCCCAGCCCCTTGGAACACGTCACCGGAACCAACTGAACCAAGCGATCCACCAACCTTGACATCCTGCGTGGCGAAAGCTCACAAACGGGCCCCCCTGATGGGTCACATACTTATATAAGGGGGACTCCAAAAAGGTCAATCTGAAGAAGCTGGTTATAGTGGTCCATAGTGGTCCCCAAATAGATCGGTTTCCGACATCATGAGCGGCATCTACTTTTCTATCTACTTGGGGGGTCTATCTAAAGCCCCTCGTCCGGAAATCCCTGGGCCGTTGCTTTCTCGTCCGCGCCTTGAGACGCTTGGCCGGAGCTTCTGGCCTCAGGAAAAAAGGACATCAATTGCAGTGCTGCAACACTCTCATAATCTCATACCTTCCAATAGTCCAACGACATGACTGATCAAAAATCTGCTTGCCCAGCATCCAAAAGACCGGCCATTCCCTCTCCCAAGTGCTCCCCTGGGCTCCTCACGCCGTCGGCCCCTCGGCCTCCTCCGGCAGCAGCCGCGCGCAGGCCACGGCCATGGGCTTCGCCACGCCGCGCGTGCGCCGAGCGCGCAGCAGGGCGATGGAGCCTGCGGAATGGGTCCGCCACCCCGCGCAGGGCGGCCGGACGTGGTCGTGGAAGTCCCGCCCAGACGAAGCCAAAATGATCATTGTGTTTTTCTTTATATTATGGAAAGGGCACTATGCGGAATCGCGTAGCCAGCAACTGATTGACAAAGCAACGTCACGTGAACGAGCGTAGCAATGGAATCTTCCTTGCGTGTTCACTCAGAAAGCTCCAGTTTTCGGGTCTTGCATTCCACTGCTCGCACCATCAGTCACCCATGACCCACCAGTGCCGGACCCCCCCTAAACCCCCTGTGAACCACCCTGGTCATCCACACACCGACCGTCACCCCAACGAACCAGTGTCGAACCGACCGAAGAGTGGCCACGGCTCCGGCCACGGCCTGTGCGGGCCCAGCGTTTGGACAATTGCGGCGCCAAGAGTTTTTCGAAGTCCTCGTCCAGGGAACGCGTCGCCCTCGGGTGCGTTGGCGCGGAATCTAGTTCATCCCTCGGGTGCGTTGGGCGGGTCGGGGGTGGAATCAAAAACAAAACGTGGCCGCAACTTCCAGTCTAGGGTAGATGATGTCTGCAACTTCCGCAGTTTGGACATTTGTCCAAAGTTCCAAGAAAAGTGTTTGGGCACTCTCACCTCTAAAACCATCACCACACCACTCACATCAACTCACCACACAGCACCCCAGGGCGCCACACGGTCCCACACTCGCGGCCGCGTAGAGGGCCTCGGCCTCCTTCCTGGGCGCCAGGCAGGTTCAGCTGGGAAAACAGACTCGCTGGGCCATGAAAAACGGGCAATGGACTCCCACACGACTTGATACCCTTTTCATGAGGTGATCCGGAGTTCCACCTAGAAACTAAAATATGGAGCCAAGATCAGTGGGCTAACTTTACCTTCTAGTCCCAGATCCCTGAACATTCTTTCACGAGCGAACAGATCAAAGTGAATGCCAAACTGGAACTCTTTCGGTTGCTTGGGTCTTCGACTCTCTGGTGAGGAAAAAGGACGCGAAAATGATGCTGAGGCTGTTGACCTGCACCACCCACAAACGTCAAAAAAATATAAAACAGTGGAACCTATTATGCTCATGACAACTCTGGGCGCACGCTTCTCGCCAGGGCTCAGCAGCAAGAACTTCGCCTTCGCCGGCGCTGACCCCGTGGTGACGGTGGGCGACGAGGTGCCCGGTGCAGGCGCCTGGCGGCTTCGATGAAGAAGTCCTGCGTCTGCCCATATGTGTTGGTAACGGTTTATACACTACCAGTAGCTCATCCCCTTAACTGAAGGGCTGGGGTATAGTGGTACGTAGAGCTGCACGCATGAGGGAGGGCGCGCCTCATCCGCACACACGGATTCGACTCAAGTGCGCACACACATTTTATCAGC